TTTCCACTCTAGTTTTAGTTGTAATTGTGATATTTTAGTTGTTTTACTGTCATTCGTCGACAGGTTTTTATAATATACATCTATTCCATTTCAATATCACATATGTTCTCGTCACGATATGGCTGAAATATTGCCGATGTGACGTTAAATATTAACTCACTCACTCACTCACTCACTCACGTCATGCCTCATGCAGTACAGGTAACACACAGACAGAAATCGGTTGAATATTATATGATTTAATAGTGCCATCAATACCCATCAAAGTTGAGTTGAGTTGAGTTGGGCTTCACGTCACATCGGCATTATTCCAGCCATATAGTGACGAGAACAAGTCTGCATTAATAAACATTGTACAGAGTCAAAATGAGTTTTATTTCAAAAACATATATATTCATTACATTGTCATTTGAAAACAGAAAAAGTCATAGCACTAAATTTAAAGACAGGCAATTTGTTAGTCACATTACATAGTAACAATTTATGATACAGATCAACTTTCCTCAGGTAGTTCACTATCAGATGAGCGCTCACGCGGGAGAACAGATCTTTCAGATTTGTTGCATCGTAATGTGAGTCCCTTGCAGACGATAAGCCCACACAGTCAAGCAGAATATGCTTGGGGTATTAAAATGGACTCCGTCCGTGCGTGCGTCCGTCCGTCCGTCCGTCCGTGCACAATTGTCTTTTCCGGAGCAGAACTCTAAAACCGTTCAATATTTCTTCAACAAACTTGGCACATACATGGATCTGGTGATGCACTGGTGCCTTTTGGTAGTTTTGGAATTCTGAATAAAATATTTTTGGCGTTTCCATGGCAACAAGTTTGACTTAGCCTGAAATTGTGGTAGTGCTCTTTTCCGGAGCTGAACTCTAAAACCGTTCAATATTTCTTCACCAAACTTGGCACATAGATTGGTCTGGTGGTGTACTGGTGCCCTTTGGTAGTTTTGGAATTCTGAATAAAATATTTTTGGCATTCCCATGGCAACAAGTTTGACTTAGCCTGAAATTGGTGATAGTGCTGCTTTCTGGAGCAGAACTTTAAAAAACCTTTTAATACTCTCCTTCCACATTTCTATATACACACCTAAATATTTGACATAATCATAACTCGTAGACATAATCATGAAGAGTATTTTGCCATTGCGGGGGATATTGATGACTTTGTCTTCTTGTCATTACCTTTATACATGTACATGTACTTACCTTGAGCATTGTGTAACCATGCCCTGGCGGCGGTCCCTTTGATCTTACCCGTGGTCTATCTAAAAGTTACACCACGGCTTGAAGTAACCTTTGACCGCGGCTATCTGATTGGCTCACTACAGGTTAGCAAGCCACGCCTACTGTTCCCACACACATGAAACAGTCTCCCTTTGACCGCGGCTATCTGATCGGCTCACTACAGGTTAGCAAGCCACGCCTACTGTTTCCACACACATGAAACAGTCTCCTTTTGACCGCGGCTCTCTGATTGGCTCACTACAGGTTAGCAAGCCACACCTACTGTTCCCACGCACATAAAACAGACTCAATCGAATGTAAACCTTGTAGTAGTTACTTCATTCTAAAACGAGAGCTCGTGCCTACATCATAATTTTGCATGACCTGAGTAAAGTGTATAGTTTTAACGTTCAGGAAACGTTGCACCTTCGTCTGTGTTCGATACTGACAATTGAGTCAACCCATTTAACACGGCCGACTGAGTTTCCATAACCTCAGCAGCTTGCGAGTAAAATGTGTCTTCGATTGTATCATCCCATTCCAGTCTATTATTGTCAACTTCATCCATTATATGTGACCATGTAAGGTCTATACCACTCGGGACTTGACATCGCGGCCGTGTGACACAGAATGATTTCAAATTCAAACATCCCGCACAGATTTTGAAAGCACGCAATGTGGGCATGGTAGAAGCAGTTATGCTATCCAATCACTCGAGGTCTGTCCAAAATAGACGATGGGCGAGCCTTTGTTGATCGACAGCTGAATATTGTGTCTCGGGCTATGCCCACGGCATATTCAGCTGTCAATCAATACCGGCTCGCCCATCGTCTCTCTGGACAAACCTCTCGTTTTTAGATAGTGTAACTACTATAGTATGACCAGAAATTATTGAGAATTTTAGGAATATGTTTAATTGGATTTCTAGTATAAACAACCTTGACCAGTTATCAAGTTCTTGGTTTTATTCAAGAGAGACAACTCCGTTAATCCTTTTTCATTAGTTTGTGAAGAGTTATCCCCCTTTGTTTACTTGCTAGCTGACGACATTTTCAGTGATCCTCAGTATGGATGAGTTAGAGAAAAGTAAGTTGATTTTAGAGTATTATAACAAGGACATCAGATCAGCTAAAGTGATTTCAAGTAGAACAGGCATCCCTTTGTCCACTGTTTAACGTGTTTTGAAAAATATTGCAAATGGATATGGCGTTGAGCACCAGGGAGGCGCAGGTAGGCCCAGAAAATTGACTGTCGGTGACAGGAGGCGGCTTGGTATTCTTGTTTCTAAAAACAAACAAAGGAGTTTAGAAAACATAAGGCTGGATATGATTGATAGAGGAACTGTGGCTGTCTGTAAGGAGACAATTAGAACTGAGATGCATGCAACGGGTTGGCAGAAAAGTCGAGGAATTCCACCACCGATCATGAAACCTGAACAAAAGGAGCGAAGGTTGAACTGGTGCTTACGGCATAGAAATTTTAACTGGGACAATGTGATTTTCTCAGATGAAAGTTCTGTGTGGCTGTTTCCTAATACACTGAAATTCTGGACCAAACAAACTGAAAAACCTGAATCAGCGCCCAAAGTACAGTCCGAAATTTAACGTGTGGGGTGGCATATCTGTGTTAGGGGCAACGTCCCTCTGTGTATTTGAAGGGAATATGAACAGTGAGCGGTACACATATATTCTCGAGGGACATTTACTTCCATCTGCTCACGTGTTCGATGGACATGTTTGGATTTTCCAGCAGGACAACGACCCAAAACATCGTTCAAAGCATTCACAGGCCTGGTTTCGTACCCAAAATATGACATTATTAGATTGGCCAAGCTATAGCCCTGACCTAAATCCAATAGAAAATGTTTTGGGGACTTATGAAGGAAAGTGTCAATAAGAAAAATCTGACAAATATTGCTGAAATGAAAGAGGATATTGGGACAGCATGGACCACGACTTTCTAACTTCTTTGATCAGTAGTATGCCCCGCCGCATTGAAGCGTGCATTGCTGCCCATGGTGACTTGACAAAATATTAACTTTCACCTGTCTTTGAATCTGGAGTTATGTTCTGCTAATATTCACATTTAATACGTGAGTAATGAGTGAAAAAAATTAATAAATGTACAATATTTAAATTCTCAATAATTTCTGATTGTACTGTAGAAGTTGTTGAATCCTGATATTGCTCCAGGTCGAGGTGATTAGGCAATCTGACAATGATATGGTCCAGCACTGGGTTGACGAGTTAGAGCGTGACATTACTGCGGTTGAAGTACATGTGTCAATTAGTAAGTTGAAGTGTAATAAAACAGCAGGTTACGATGGCATTATTAAAGGTCACATGCAACAAAAACATCACTTATTCATGACATATAACATACATTGCTGACTATGAAAAAACATATAAACAAAATTATAAGCGTACAATCGCAAATCAAAAGTGCAATATGAAATTATATAAACAGTTAAATCGGTAATCTGCTGTCATAACATATAAAAAGCTCGCGCCAGTGAAATATCAACAAAACATTAGGAAAATAGCTCACACCAAAGCCTTCACCGAGTATTTATCGGACAACCCGCTTCCAAGCTGCGCGAACCTATTTCACTGCGCATGTGCTTATGAGCACAGCCCAGCGCAGCGCAGCGCAGCCCAGCTGTTGAAACCACTTTTCCCCACAAGCGCTGGGGGAAAATTTGTGAATCGTTTGATTGGTTTTTTCATCACGTTATTTTCCAACTGTATAAGTTGAATTTGCATTTTTGATGATTTGTTTCGGTAAGTCCATACCGAAAGGTATCAGAATCTGCAAAGTTGTGTTTTACGTTGCATGTGACCTTTAATTGGTACATTTTGCAATAGATACACGTTTAAAAGCGCAATTATGAGAGTTGATGGTGAAAATTCTATCATTGGTCCCAGGTTTCATTTACCTTAGTTAGGCTGTTTGTCACCTCACTCAGTTCGACCTGCATGTCGGCGAGTTTCTCGTGCAGCGCGCCACCTTGAATGTTGTCATCGCTGGGTGTCGACCATTCACGTTTGCGTTTCTTCTCTTGCTCCACCTTGTCGTTTAGTATTTTCACACTGTCTTCATCCTCCTCCACATTTTAGGAGTAATAATGCTTCAGAACGTTGTAAATGCAGAACATATTTCAAAGATTAGGCGGAGCCAAGTGGAAGGCAACCTGCTGGACTCGCGCATGCGCATTATTACATAAACGCGGCAGTTACAATAATTATTAGATAAATGTGTCAATAATCATTATTATGTTCACTCACACATTCACCACCTGGGGCAAAATAACTTCAATTTAGTACCTTTCGTTTAACGACGGGCAACACAGTGAGAAATGTTTCGCTTTTTCTTGGCGGCCACCAGGAACATATACAGCATAAGTCTATTTCAGTATTGTTGTTCATTGTTAGTATATTTATTAAAATATTATTTCAAGTCTGACAGTTGTGTTTCAGTAACTGTAGGCAGCTATTCAGTGTATTCTTCTTCGAATATTCGACTCATTTCTGTTGACATTCACGTGACATTAAGGGTTTCGACAAGGAAAACATCGATCAGTTACATACAAGATTGTTGGAGTGAATTGTGCTCCGAAAACAGGTACTCGTATCAGACATAATTTGCCCTTGGATACTGTCCTTGACATCCATATACACAACACAGATAATCGCCAAGCTAAGTATACGGTACAGTATGTTGATTATGTATCTTATCAACCATCAGCCAAGTCATCTAATCTGTGAGTAGGCCCATGTATTATGTTCGATCCGGAGTGACACTATGTGGGCAGGCGTGTGTGTCGTAGTGTTTCTGTGTGTCACGGGCGTTGTGGGGGTGGGGATGCTCTATCCCCGGGACTCTGAGAGTCGGGAGGTCAGGAACCTGGATGGAATGTGGAACTTCCGTGCTGACATGTCCCCTACCAGAAATGCTGGACTGAAGGCGGCTTGGTTCAAACAACCTTTAGCTAAAGTGAGTGCAAGAACAATTCTTAAAGGGTAATCCGCTAGGGTCAGTTGGCAGCCCTTGCAATATTGTGTGACCCGTGTAGATTCTGGGTAAGAAATGGGGCAAGTAACTTTGATTATAAAGTCATATCGACAGTATTTCAGCCACATCGTGACTGTACAAAGTATATGATAGAGACAAATTTATAAACATAACTGTTAACACCACTTGCACCACCTTTTGAGCAGGATGCGCTCACACACTGCGACATCAGATATGATCATGGAATAGTTTCGCCGCTTGTATTTAAGGCGTTTTGTTATTGCCTAGACTGGTCCCGTGATTCCGATGCCTGTCCCCTCCAGCTACAACGATGTGACCCAGGACATCTCTCTGCGGGACTTTGTTGGATGGGTGTGGTACGATCGTGATTTCTTCGTGCCTCAAGACTGGCAGAACCGGAGAGTGGTTCTCCGCTTTGGCAGCGCTAACTACTACGCTATTGTGGTAGGTAAATGAATGGCAGCGTTGAAAGAAAGTTATATATTTCTGTCTGTGAAGTTGACGTTGTCATGTTGTGTTCCGTTCATTGTTTTATCAAGGTGCATACATGGTTATTCAATTTAGCTACTTAATACCTCCAGTGGGTCAACGCTCAGGAGGTGGTTCAACATAACGGAGGCCATCTTCCATTCGAGGCTGAAATCAACAAGTATCTACATTTTGGTGGGAGCAATTTGCTGACTGTGGCCGTGAACAACACTCTTACTCAACACACTCTACCTCCGGGCACCATCCAGTACCAGGCCGACACAGAGAGGTAGGTATCACTATACATCATCCACTTCCAATCAGACACCTGGTGGTATCTATCTGTATACACACCATCCAGTACCAGGCCGACACAAAGTGGTGGGTATCGCATCACTATACATCATCCACTTCCAATCAGACACCTGGTGGTATCTATCTGTATACACACCATCCAGTACCAGGCCGACACAAAGTGGTGGGTATCGCATCACTATACATCATCCACTTCCAATCAGACACCTGGTGGTATCTATCTGTATACACACCATCCAGTACCAGGCCGACACAGAGAGGTGGGTATCACTATACATCATCCACTTCCAATCAGACACCTGGTGGTATCTATCTGTATACACACCATCCAGTACCAGGCCGACACAAAGAGGTGGGTATCGCATCACTATACATCATCCACTTCCAATCAGACACCTGGTGGTATCTATCTGTATACACACCATCCAGTACCAGGCCGACACAGAGAGGTGGGTATCACTATACATCATCCACTTCCAATCAGACACCTGGTGGTATCTATCTGTATACACACCATCCAGTACCAGGCCGACACGAAGAGGTGGGTATCACTATACATCATCCACTTCCAATCAGACACCTGGTGGTATCTATCTGTATACACACCATCCAGTACCAGGCCGACACAGAGAGGTGGGTATCACTATACATCATCCACTTCCCAATCAGACACCTGGTGGTATCTATCTGTATACACACCATCCAGTACCAGGCCGACACAAAGAGGTGGGTATCGCATCACTATACATCATCCACTTCCAATCAGACACCTGGTGGTATCTATCTGGTGGTATCTATCTGTATACACACCATCCAGTACCAGGCCGACACGAAGAGGTGGGTATCACTATACATCATCCACTTCCAATCAGACACCTGGTGGTATCTATCTGTATACACACCATCCAGTACCAGGCCGACACAAAGTGGTGGGTATCGCATCACTATACATCATCCACTTCCAATCAGACACCTGGTGGTATCTATCTGTATACACACCATCCAGTACCAGGCCGACACAAAGTGGTGGGTATCGCATCACTATACATCATCCACTTCCAATCAGACACCTGGTGGTATCTATCTGTATACACACCATCCAGTACCAGGCCGACACAAAGAGAGGTGGGTATCGCATCACTATACATCATCCACTTCCAATCAGACACCTGGTGGTATCTATCTGTATACACACCATCCAGTACCAGGCCGACACGAAGAGGTGGGTATCGCATCACTATACATCATCCACTTCCAATCAGACACCTGGTGGTATCTATCTGTATACACACCATCCAGTACCAGGCCGACACGAAGAGGTGGGTATCGCATCACTATACATCATCCACTTCCAATCAGACACCTGGTGGTATCTATCTGTATACACACCATCCAGTACCAGGCCGACACGAAGAGGTGGGTATCGCATCACTATACATCATCCACTTCCAATCAGACACCTGGTGGTATCTATCTGTATACACACCATCCAGTACCAGGCCGACACGAAGAGGTGGGTATCGCATCACCTATACATCATCATCCACTTCCAATCCAGACACACTGGTGGTATCTATCTATATACATCCACCATCCTGGTGGTATCTATCTCTATACACACCATCCAGTACCAGGCAGACACAAAGTGGTGGGTATCACTATACATCATCCACTTCCAATCAGACACCTGGTGGTATCTATCTGTATACACACCATCCAGTACCAGGCCGACACAAACAGGTAGGTATCACTATACATCATCCACTTCCAATCAGACACCTGGTGGTATCTATCTGTATACACACCATCCAGTACCAGGCAGACACAGAGAGGTGGGTATCGCATCACTATACATCATCCACTTCCAATCAGACACAAAGATGTTGGTCTCTCAATGTTGCCTGGAGAACAATGGTTTAGCAGATCTGTTTTGAGTATTGAAAAACTATTGTTGTACAAAGAGGATTTACAACATTTGTATGTGTTACCTGTAATATATGTTAACATGCATGGTAATTACTTGTTTTGTTGTCATGGTATGCACAATAGCCACCATTCATGGGTAGCTTCTCCGTCTGAAATATTGCAGATATCCAGATGGGTACTTTGTCCAGAATCTCCAGATGGACTTTTTCAACTATGCTGGTATTCATCGCCATGTCCGTTTGTACACGACCCCAACCACCTACATAGATGATGTGACTGTTACAACTAATATCAGTAACGGGAAAGGTTTGTTGAAGGTTAATTACAATAGAGAATCTCACCTGCGGGTTGTCTTTTTTACTTTATTTTAATACTCACGGGCGTTTCCTTAACACGAGATGTTAATGGTTAAAATTCAGAGGCTAGCATGGTTGCATTACCTTGATGCCCAAAAGAGGTATTTTTCTGAAACGTATTTATTTCGAAGAGGAGTGCACACTTATCCTCAATACATGCTGACAGTCAATGTACGTATATCTGCGTTTGATCACTTTTGATATATAGACGATGGAATTCAAAGTATTTAGAAAAGTGGCAAAGTGGATATTTTATTACAATTGTATGTAGCCAAGTCTCATAATGCTTTCCCAAAATGTGCCTTTACATATAACGTGGATGTAGCAGGTATTATGCAGTACCAGATCGACGTTGGTGGTTCTGCCCAGGGTAGCAGTATCAAGGTGGATGTTGAGGACAAGGACGGCAACGTCGTCGGAACATCTACCAACTTCACCGGCACTGTGACCGTGGCTAATGCCAACCTCTGGTACCCCTACACCATGATGCCAAACTCTCCTGCCTATCTCTACACATTAAAGGTAGGTTACCTACGGTAAATGCCTATCTCTCGTACCCATACACCATGAGGCCGCATTCACACTATCCATACAAGCAATGTTCTCTTATGACCTTTACTACATGCTGGTACTACACGCATGATGTGTCCCGCCCATGCCTCCAAATGGGCTAATATATGTTACCCATACACACTGGTGACCCATCTTAAAATCTGCTCTTTCGGAATATGCGTTCCAATATACGCCCGGAGCAGGTTGAACTACATCCATGGTTTAGTGGATACAGCTCTGACGGAACGTCAGTAGAGCGGACTGTCATTAGTTCGATCCCCGGCTAACCAGACCCAAATAAGTTAATTGCTATTTCCCAACATGGTACTCCCGAATCAAAGGGATAAAACAAGAATTTGCTGTTTTGGAAGTTGTATCTGAGCTGGGTATCAGTGCGACATGGTATCTCAGTGGGTTAGCAGTACAAACCCGTTCTTAGTCCTGATTAGCAGCACACAAAAAAACAAAAGCCCAATGATATTCGCTCGTGGGTACAAGTCACGAGTATCTGTAATTAGAAATGGCGCTGTAACTATTGTTAAGGTTTGGAACGTCTTCATTCTCAGATGACCTTGACCTCTAAAGCAGGAACGGATGTGTATCGGCTGCCAGTTGGTATCCGCACCATACAAGTGACAGACTCCCAGGTGCTCATCAACAACAGGCCGTTCTACTGCCATGGAATCGGAAAACACGAGGACGCAGATGTAAGCAGAGTTATAATATTGATGCAGATTCATGACGCGAAAAACGCTTGAAATATATTTCTGAACACCTCAATTAGCAAAGTGTCAGCTATATTATTGTACCTCTCATTGGGAGTGTGTATATTTCTAGATTAGGGGCAGAGGTCTTGACTATGCCACCATTGCAAAGGATTTCAACATGTTCAAGTGGCTGGGAGTCAACTGCTTCCGTACGTCCGTTTATCCATATGCGGAGGAGATCATGGACCAGGCTGACCAGGAAGGAATCATGGTCATTGACGAGAGTCCAGGTATCGGCATCACACAGTAAGTCCTACACTGGAGCAACATAGGCTTGACGGAAAACCTTTCACAAGGGATATACTCATGGGGATTGAAAACCTTTGACCACAAGGTGAATGAGTGAGTCATTTTGCAGCTATTCGAGGCTAGAAAAACTAAATATTTTCCTCTGGAAATAAATATAGAATAAATGTGAGACAAGGATAACAAAACCTGCAGTCAATTATCACAGTAAACAGTATAGATTGTCATTCATAAATTCTAAAATGTACATACGCATTCAAATACGCTAAAATAGAATAATTAGAAACGGTATTGAAAAGTTAAGAATTAGTTTGAACTGTATAAAAATCCACACATTCCAACAAAAGGTGCTCTAGTGTCCTAGGACTGTGACACGGAATACATGGAGGGGAATCCTCTCCCTTCAATAACAGTGAGTGAGTATAATGAGAGTGCATGTACTCATGAGGGTCGTCCTCATCTGTTTTAAACAGACATCCGTGTCTCATGTTATAAACTGGAGTCCCCGTGGCGCCGCTGTATAACCTGACACACTACACACTGTATACCTGATGATGAGATTTACACACATCTCACAAGTGTAGTACTAGGAAGTTAATCTAACCGGCCGAGTTCGGCGTCGTTAAACAACATTCACTCCATTGTTATTTCAGGGATGAAAACTTCAGCAACACATCTCTGTTCCATCATCTCGAAGTGATGGATGAGCTTGTGAGACGGGACAAGAACCGTCCTGCCGTCATGATGTGGTCTGTCGCTAATGAGCCAGGAAGTGACAAGGGCATTTCTATACCATATTTCAAGTGAGTGACATTGTATATCTAACTAGCTGTAAAATATTATCCCCGCCACGATGTGGATACGGAACTCGTCCGTCCTTCTGTCATTCCACTTCTCGATGGTAACACATTTTCTCAAAGTCTATTTAAATTAGACATAGTTTACTCATAATGTTAGTGGTCACGTTCTCAAAAAGAGTTGAATAATTGGTGGTTTAGATTCATTATGCACAGAGCTATGACTCTTGCTTCTAGCTTTTTGACTTGTCAACATTATGGACAGGTTATATCAGAAACTACTGAATTTAATGGATGGAATTGTACTGAACGTTTCAAGAATGTGTTGTTTAAATCCGATGACCCCTCAGGACCCCTCCATTCTCCAAGGGGCGGTGGGGTAGCCTAGTGGTTAAAGCGTTCGCTCGTCACGCCGAAGACCTGGGTCGATTCCCCACATGGGTACAATGTGTGAAGCCCATTTCTGGTGTCCTCCGCCGCGATATTGCTGGAATATTGCGTAAAACTAAACTCACTCACTCACTCCATTCTCCGATTGTGTTAATCCTGTTTGTTGTGTATGCTTTAAAAATTCAGGTAAACACTTCAAAATGTAATGTGCCCGTTGGTGAGAGATAGTAATAACGCCCTTTCCCTGTTAGCTCTAGATCTGATCTCATGCATATAGTACCGTCACGATATTCTGATATATTCTCTTCAGGTCAGTTATTGGACATACAAGAAGCCTTGACCCTACAAGACCTGTCTCTTTTGTGTCGAACAAAAACTACATTGATGATAAGGCAGTGAGTGAAATATTCAAATGTACTATTAGTGTACGTAACCACCCTATAGTGAGTGAGTGATTTTGGTTTTACGCCGCTTTTAGCAATATTCCAGCAATATCACGGCGGGGAACACCAGAAATGGGCTTAACACATTGTACACATGTGGGGAATCGAACCCGGGTCTTCGGCGTGACGAGCGAACGCCTTAACCACTAGGCTAGCCAACCGCCTGTCAATATAAGGTGGTTAGGGCGGTGAGGTAGCCTAGTGGCGAAAGTGTTCGCTCGTCACGCCGAAGGAGAGGGTTCGATTCCCCATATGTGTACAATGTGTAGATATACAATGTCCCTGTCGTGATATTGCTAGAATGTTGCTAAAAGCGGCGTAAAACTCAGTCAGTCCTTATATTGACCCAACTTGACCCTTGACCATGGCTGCTAACAGCTCCTGTGACACCACATGACAGAAAAAAATAACGTATCAGTTATATGGTGTACTTTGTATTTGAAGTCTTACACTAAAAAACACCCATTTTATTTCACATAATTCTCAGATGCACGCACATTGAGGTTTGGGGCATATATGACTGTGCCATAGCCGGTAGTTGGCGCTGATACTAAATGTGACACAGAGTCGGTCAGGCCTGATTCATGGAATTGTCATTAGGTCGTTTTCAGTAGAAGCATATGTCCTAACGCCCTGCTCGATACAGGCCTGTCTAACGGGGCTGTGTTTACTGCGGGAGTATATACTAGTACCTGTGTCATGTTACGGGGTCATCTTGCAAGTGTTACTGCGGTGTTTTTCATATAGCGCCATGCGGAATTTAATGTATTACATCTTCGTCTAGGTCCAGTTTGTAGACATCATTTGTTTCAACCGCTACTATGCTTGGTACACTGACACGGGTCACACAGAGGTCATTCAGGTCCAAATGGCAAGTGACATGGACGGATGGAGAAGCAAGTACAACAAGCCACTGTTTGTCACTGAATATGGAGCAGGGTCTGTTGCTGGCTTGCACAGAGTAAGTAGAACAAACCAGAGTCTGCCACTTAATATGGTGCAGGGTCCGTTGCTGGGTTGCACAGAGTAAGTAGAACAAGCCAGCGTTTGTCACTGAATAGGGAGCAGGGTCCGTTGCTGGGTTGCACAGAGTAAGTAGAACAAGCCACTGTTTGTCACTGAATAGGGAGCAGGGTCTGTTGCTGGGTTGCACAGAGTGAGTAGGACAAGCCAGTGTCACTGAATAGGGAGCTGGGTCTGTTGCTGGGTTGCACAGAGTGAGTAGGACAAGCCAGTGTCACTGAATAGGGAGCTGGGTCTGTTGCTGGGTTGCACAGAGTGAGTAGGGCAAGCCAGTGTCACTGAATATGGAGCTGGGTCTGTTGCTGGGTTGCACAGAGTGAGTAGGACAAGCCAGTGTCACTGAATATGGAGCAGGTTCTGCTGCAGGTTCCAACTCACTGGGTAGGAATAGGTTGGAATTGCCCATACACTTGCTTGCTAACTGCGTGTGAGTCTGCACCGAAACGTCGCTCTTCGTTGTAAATTAAGAAGTTGTTATATATCCTTAGTTACCCTGTAGTATATTCCAGAACTTCCCAAATACAGCACACCACCTCATGACTATCCACATACACAATATATTACACTTGGGACATTGATACACAATGAATACCACTGTCACTGTCTCTAAATTGTACTTTCAGGATCCATCGTCTGCATTTACAGAAGAATACCAAGTGGACTTCATGGCCGAATACCACAAGCAGTTTGACTCAAGGATTGGAAAAGATTTAGTTGGAGAAATGGTGTGGACGTTTTCTGACTTCATAACGGCTCAGGGTAAGTGGTCTTAATGTAACTGTAGGTACACTTCACACCTTAATTTATTTGGGGCTTTGGACAGAAAGAATTCATTATGGAGTAGGGTTTTCTTTAACAGTAGTTTTTGTTTGTTTGTTTGTTTGTTGTTTAACGCCGCACAGCGACCTGTACTGTAAATAATCGAGTCGAGACCAGGCAACAGCGTAGCATCGATCTATGCAAATGGGATCCGTTGACATGTCAACCAAGTCGGAGACCTATATGGCTGAAATAATCCTTAATGTGACGTAAAATCGAAGACATTTTGTCCTGTAAGACTTGACTTCGATAGTCGTGATCGAGGTCGGTATTAAGGTTATATTACAGTCATGGGTTTCAGGTGTCAAGCGGGTAGTGGGCAACAAGAAGGGAGTTCTCACCCGTCAACGTCAACCCAAACCTGCTGCCTTCCTCCTCCGTCAGAGGTACCAAGCCTTGATAAACAGAACAGCTCACTGACTTCAAATGCATGGACAGACAATATAAGAATACATGTACATGGGTTAATTTCTATGATTTTTAGTAACATTGTGACTGTAACAACCAACGCAAAATAATCATGTGAATACTAATAGCCACATCAGATGATTGGTTATAAAACTCTCTCTCTCTATATATATATACTCTTCAAAAAAAAAAAGAAACTTGACATAGGACAAATTTGGATTTTAGGAAAATATTTGACACAAACCAATCCATGCTGAATCCCAGCATGTGGGGGAATGGTTGCCGACGACAAAACGTTTGAAAAAAGAAACCTTTTACAAAAGCGTAACGTTACACTCACGTCTGTAGTGAATCGCTAACGCGCACCCTACACGAAATTGTGTATCACCCTGTGCTGAAGCCTATGACTGTAGGCTTTAAAAAGCCACATCAATGGTACTCCACATGCATTGCTTTAAGCCACTATACAGATGCTCAACGACACAACGCCATAGGCCGTTTATAAAGACGGACATCGCGTGTCCAGACATACCATCTCAAACCTATGGACCCGATACAAAAATACTGGGATTGTTAACGTCAGACCCAGGTCAGGTCGACCTGGAGTTACTACCGCCGCCCAGGATCGCTACATCTGCTTGAGACATTTTCGTTCAAACACCACGGCCGCATCATCCACAACAATCCAAATCCCTGGACTGCTCCGAATCTACGACAGTGCGCAATTGCCTATGAAAAGCCAGACTTTTTGTCAGAAGACCAGTTCAACGTCACGTCGTTCCCTACATCAACGTGATCTTTGGAGCATGACAATGCTCGACCTCACGTTGCACGTGTTTGACTGGTCTTCTTCCAGCAAAACAATGTTCAGTTGTTTCCTTGGCCTTCTTGATCACCGGATTTGTCCCCCATTGAACATCTATGGGATACTCTTGATCGACGCTTGCGCCAGCGTAATCCACCACCTCAGACACTAGAAGAACTGCACACAGCACTTCAGCAAGTGTATCAAAACATTCCTCAAGACAGCATTCGGCATTCGGCTGCCAAGCTGTTATCAATGCTCATGGTGGTCACACTAGATACTGACTTTTTACTCCGACAAAGTGGCTTTATTAGCCCTCTGTGGTTTTACCAAACACTTCCTGGATAATCATGTTTTGGAAATTTGTAAAGTGATGATTTTATTGTAACTCAGCAATGATGTCATGTTTGAATCAGTTATATCCACTCAGTAAGTAAACTCCAAAACAGCATGTCAAGTTTCTTTTGGTGAAGAGTATATATATCCTGTGCCCTTTTTGGTAGCTAGACGTCTATCACTTAAAAAGAGACACAAATGTTGAATGAGGAACTTGTATGACGTTAGAGGTATGCATCGGGATATCGGAGCTTCTGCACAAACTTGAGTTTGATATATATCCTGTCTGTTATCTCTCTTTCTCTCTCTCTCTCTATATATACATATATGTATATATAATGTCCCTCTGTGTGTGTGTGTAAATATAATTTTGCGACGGATCAAAGAAGAATATTTCATTAAAATATTAAGACCACAACTTAATGTTTGATGAAATAATTGATCAATTCTATTACATGTGTCCATCCTACAGCTTGCCCTATTGTGACGTCATATCATTGTTATATCACTGCGATTGTGACATCAGAACGTCACAACTGTCATCTACTCCCTGAAGAAAGGAACATGTAGGAGTGAAATTGGCTCTGTGGTTTTAAAAAAAAAATCTATATAAATATATCATAGTGCACATACGTCCACCACTATTGTTAATAACTATGACGTCAAAAACATGATGACGCCACAAACGTAACCTTACTATCACCTGTGACTACGTTTTACCTCGTCCGCTTATGTAAACTGGTTCCCAGCTCCCTTTGCGCGCCACCTTGCACTAAAGCTCGGAGCCGGTATATACCGCCATTTAAAACGCTCTGTTCGTCTATTTGACGTCACATTCGGATTGGTCAAGCTGGAGTCAGTCTGTACATTGACGTCACGCTGAAAGATCTGGGAGCCAGTACGATACGTTTTTTTATAAAAAAGAGAAACGACAATTGAATTCTAAGGCCAGCCAAAAATTATATTCAAATTTGTATTTATTTGGGTTTTCATGTTTTCCATATAGACTAGCTAATGTCCATGATGCGCTCTTCAGTTGCGTGTTGAACAGCGGCACAAAACTGAAACCATACCTCAAATATTATGCCATTGTCGAGATGTTCACACACTGAACAATGGAAATATACCTTTGTTCCTTAGATATGCGTATATAGGCACGATTTATCCTCTCTTTTGGCAGTCCCACTTTTGGCAGTCAATTTTCACACCTGGTTAACGAGCTAGAACAGTTGTCCCACTTTTGGCAGTCAATTTTCACACCTGGTTAATGAGCTAGAACAGTTGTCCCACTTTTGGCAGTCAATTTTCACACCTGATTAACGAGCTAGAACAGTTGTCCCACTTTTGGCAGACAATTTTCACACCTGGTTAACGAGCTAGAACAGTTGTCCCGGTGTTGGCAGTTTATGACTCGCACCTCATAATTAGCCCTTTGACACCTCGTGAATGAGTCTAAATTGATTTAATCAACTCCTATGTAGAGTGATGAAGAGACCAGAATAACAAAGAATATTATTGGTGATGATTATTTTATTCGCAAAACATTTGCACAGTATTTCTAATGTTCAATCACACCAGCCAGCACACTGCCACAAGCAGAAAGATGATGCCAACGCTCTTTCACAGATCATAAACTCAAGTCCAAGATTAAAAAGTCTGGCAGAGGTTTCCTCCACTCGCCGACGCTTGGATTCAAGCTGCATCACATGTACTTGTTTATTAGAGTGTTCAGACTTGAAGAGAATGATCAATTCAAAAATGTTCAAGAGAGTCTTCACTGCTCTTCTGAACAAACGGCTGTTGCAGCCCTCACAACTGTTATTAGTTTTGGATGTCTCACGTATGTAGTGAGTGAATGAGTGAGTGAGTTAATATTTAACGTCACATCGGCAATATTGCAGCCATATCGTGGCGAAAACAAGCCATACAATAAAAAGTAGAAACCACGTATGTAGTAATTCCAGATGTTGAGGGGAAATTGTCCACTGATCCACGTGTCCAGGAAGGATTTGTTGAAGTTGCGGAATAGAGCCTGACCAAAAAAGGGAATATATACTGGCCACATAAAGAAACTGTGCACACAGAAAATATAAAGATAGGCAGACAGCGTCTTTATACATACATAAAGGTGTGAACATAGCACGTATTGGAGACAATCAAACGCTCATGCAGGTGCGAGGCGACGTGACGTCATTGATGACAACATGTGAAACTCAGAAATTGCTGTCACTGTCGAAAGCTGCAGTGAGTATCTTTATCTCAACCCTTTTATTGTGCCGTGGGGACGTACATCCCCACCTGGGACCTCTTATCCATACTGATCTGAAAATAATTCATCTAAATGTTATAAGTTTGAAAGAAAATGTAGATATATTAGAAGTAGAGTGAGCGAGTGAGTTAATATTTAACGTCTCATCGGCAATATCTCAGCCATATCGTGACGAAAACAATTTATACAATAAAAAGTGAAAACATTTTGAAGATTAAAACCTGTTGACGATGGACAGTAAAAATACTAGAAAATCTTTGGTCATTCAAACGTTCACAAATTCACATGAGAAGTCACATGCACATCATGCCAAGATGAACATCTGCTCAACGTCATGAAGCCATTGGAATGGTTCGAGCAGGCATGAGCCAACAACAGGTGGCAGCACATTTCCAATGCCATCGTAATACGATATCTGCATTGGTCAGGCGTTCTGGAAACAGTAATGACGTCGCCGACCACCCACGTTCTGGGTGTCCCCGAGTAACGACGCCATGACAGGACAGATGGATTCGGGTGCCTCATCTCAGACACAGGTTCCAGAAGGCAGTGACCACGTCCCAAACCATTCCCTAGGCCTTCAATGCTCATTTGGTAGCCTATATGCGTCGTCGATGCACTGCTGTGCTTCACACGCATGATGGTCATACCCGTTTTTGACTTGTGACTTCGACGTGTGACCCCCTACTCAATTTTGAACTTCTGACGTCATCGTTACGGATATTGTTCATGTTCTTTTGACATGTTGTTGTGGCCCGATACTTTTGCTTATAAAGTGTCTACATCATTTCGTCTTTTCTGTGTTGTATTCCAAATCTGAAGGAACGTTCTGTGTGCACAGTTTCTTTATGTGGCTAGTATACATCCCTACGTCTCTAACCACATTGTGCACGGTAGTTTCGAAATCCACAATCAAGGTCTTGATACTGGTTTTCTTGTCCGGAAGTAAGCTGAACAATTCAGGCAAACTTCCGTATGAATGATGTGAGTGGATAACATTGAGTTGGTAAAACATCTTAGGGAAGATCTTCAAGGTTCCATTCATCGAAACAGTCTCGCTTACACAAAGTCTGGCAAAATCTGAACTGGTTCCAAAGACAGGAAATTCTGTTTCCATCCACCTCACTGTCTGTAAGTACAAAATCATCACCAGTCTCGGTCTTTGTCCACTCTGTCTGTTTCAAGTCTGTCGCCGCCTGGGGGGTTTGAGGTAGCTTCTTGGCTCGCTGTCTATACAAACTCGACTTGCTGCAAAAAAATCTTGAACCATAATGCCCCTGTCGGCCATAATGCTATCCTGTTTCTCAAACATACCATGTGATGGGTCCAGCAAAGCAGACTGCTCCACTATCTGTCTGTCACTTGCTGACCCCTCATATGATTCACTAATAAATGAAACTGCCCCTCTGGGTGTGCAGCCAATCATGGTTTTTAATGTGTTCTGATGTTTATAGCTGGACCATGTCATGCTCTGGGCATCTACATGCGATGGCTTTTTGATAGGAATCTCTGTTGCATCCAAATGACTCTGGTGTTTGTGAATTTCTTACCGAAATCTGTTGGCATGTGATCATCAACTGTTGCTCTTGTTGGCCATATCTGTAGTTCTTTCAGTTTGAAATATAATACATTGATCCATGTTAATCCGATCTGAGAAACAGTGGATGATGATATGCCAAACAGAAAGCTTAATTCGA